CTCACTAAATTAACAAAACTAAAGATAGAAATAGTCAATATCAGCATAGCTGTTAACACTGTGTTTGAATATATTGAGGTATAATAATACTATAGTTTGAAGAAATAGTTTACTTCAAAAATGGTTTGAATGCTGTTTGGTCAGCCATAAGGTTATATCGCTCCCTTCTTAGATGCCTTGGATTCTACTGCGCATGATTGTGATTGTTCTCATTACTCACATTCTTTTCAACTATCAAAGAACATTAATTTATTTATTTTACAGCTTTCAAGTCTCGCAGCTAAATACAAGATGGACAAAAAGACATCTTTCGCAACTGGCAACACCAGTACTGTCGTCAACAATATCGAGAAGATATCAGTGACATCAACACCAGTCAATATTACAACAACTACTATGGTTGCTGTAGCTTCTTCATCATCCGTTCGATCGCGATCGATGCGATTTGTACAAAATTTTTTATTGGTTTGGCTTGACGCTAAAATTGATGAGAACAATGCAGATTTTAAAAATTCTTTTGAACAACTTCAAAACGTTGTTAATACAGTAGAAGCATTTACTGATGTTGATCAATGCTTCGAATATATGAAAAGTATCCAAGATGAAAAAATCTTTTTAATCATCTCTGGAACACTTGGTGAAAAGACTGTGCCTCTCTGGCACAATATGCCTCAACTTGATACCATCTTTGTTTTCTGTAGAAACAAAGATCAACACAAGCAGTGGGCAAAAAATTGGTCCAAAATTCGACGTGTGTCAACGACAATCAAGTCTATATGTAAGGAGTTAGTCAAGGCCACCCGCGAATGTGATCATGACAAAATACCGATGAGTTTTGTTCCAAAACGCACACTCAAAGAAGTAGCATCGAATCAACAAAAGATCGACGAATTGGAACCATTGTATATGTATTCGGTGTTATTCAAAGAAATTATATTAGAAATCAATGACGACGATACCAAACCTGTAAATGACCTTGTAGCATATTGTCGTCAACAACAGGTCTCTCAATCTCAACTGGAATATTTTCAGCGTAAATACCACCAGAAATCACCAGTCTGGTGGTATACGTGTGAAATGTTTGTGTACAGCATGCTCAATAAGGCATTACGTACACTTGATATGGAAGTGATGACCAAAATGGGATTTTTTATCCGAAATCTTCATCAGCAGCTGGAACAGTTATACAAACAACAATCAAATACATATGCCAAGAAATTTATCGTTTATCGTGGTCAGGGATTCATTCAACAAGACTTTGATCATCTAATCGATATAAAAGGCGGACT